AGAGTATTGGGGTTAGTTTCTTCACTTCCATAGGAACAAGCTGAAAAAATGCTGAGTCTAACATGGGACAGCTGAAGTGGAAGGCTAGAAAAGGCTGTGAGAGAAGGCTGGTGATAACATCTCCCAAGACTTCCCTTACCTCCATGCCCCATCCCCAGCTGAGAGGGGAGGTTGCCAACTTCATCTATGACCCAATTCAAAGGACTGGATAATTAAAAATACAGAACTCTGGATATAGATCTATGCATTGACAATTGGTCTTTGTGAGATGCAAATATTTATTCAGAAGAGGGTTGTGTAACACGGTTATCTGGAGTCTTAATTGTGGTGATAGCTTGAGCCATCAAATTGCCTTTCCTTCCTCCAAAATTATCCCATATCCAGCTAGTTGAAAACAAAGAACAATAGAATACTGATGGCTAGACTTAATAAAGACCTTGCCAGGGTCGAAAGAAACATGATTGAATAAACCAGAAGAACTAGTTTGGACTACTCCACTGCCAGGGGAGTGGGGGAGAAAGAAAACATAAAAATAAAATGAAGGCAGGGAAAGGGTCTTTAGAAAGATTTCTGGGAAAAGAACATTTGTAGAACACTAGGTCCAAATGCTTTGTTTATTCCTCCTTCCCTCCTCTTTGAGAGTAGCAATGGTGAGGCACTTGACCGTCCAATTTTTTCATTGCTATTCTCAAAGCAGTAGAAGCCAAAGACACGGCCTGTGTGCTGGCACGTAAGATGAGGACAGCAGAGTCAAAATAGCATAGTATTATAGGACAAGGTAAAGATCGTGTTCACATAGAAAAACAGATAAATCCTTAGGAATAACCCCAAAAAGAAATGTGAATGATCTTTATAAAGAAAATATCACAAGTGACAACAAGGTCTAAATAGTTGTACATAGATAAAATTCTAAGATGCCAATCCTTGCCAATTTGATCCATAAAGTTAATATAATTTCAATCAAAACATAAACCGTGTGTTCTACAATAAATGACATTAGCATAATTAATAATATAGAGAAAATTAAGATAGAAAATCTACCTCAAACTGTCTGTACAGACAGACAGACACACACACACTACTAGTAGGTTAACAGTGAAGCTAACTGTAAAAAAGATATTGTGTTTGTATTCCTTCTAAGGAAATAGGCAAAGGCTTTTCTTATAACTTTGAGAAGGAAAGGCTGTCATGGAAAAGAAAAAGAAGAAGGAAGGGAGGAAGGAAGGAAGGAAGGAAGGAAGGAAGGAAAGAAGGAAGGAAAGAAGAAGCAAGAAAACAGTACATATAGAAGTCCTAAAAGAAAAATATTGACAGAAGCAGAAAATTCAGTTTCCTGAGTGATGAAATAAATCACACATACACAAAGATATCAAGAGATGGGGTGAGTGAAAACATTGGCAATGGTTGCAACATGTCATAAGGATCTCATTTCAAGTGTAGCTAATGACTACCATACAGGTCAGTACAGCAAGTCTATACTCAGAAAAGGAAATTGCTTTTGTCTTACACAGATATAGTAATTTGGGAGAGGAGAGAGACCAGTGCCCAGTTTGCCATGGTGCAAAGGTCGGCAGGATGAGAGTTCCTAAGCTTCCTGTGGGCCAGAATATGTCCTGAGAACATACCTGGAGCACAGGCCTGCTCACAAGCACCAACACAGCTCTCCCCACCAACACACACACACACACACACACCCCACCTGCCTTAGGCCACCTAGTGAGCTGAGGGACTCCAAGTCAATAAGAGGTTCCTGAGGGAAAGGGATGTGCCTCAGGAGAAACTTTAATGCTTGGAAACCACAAAGTAGGTGCGCAGCTGGGCACATGAGGATCCCAGAACGTGCCACAGACAGCACTAGAACGGAGTGCTCAACCAGTGGTGCTGGGCTCATCGGCTAATCATGAGGGAAAAGAAGTCAAGTCACATCACTGTCTCTCACCTTGCACAAAAGTAAATTCCAGACAGATCGATGAGACAAAACTCTGAATAGAAAGGTGTGAAAGAACGAGAAAACTGCCAAGGAGACTGTGTTCATGGGAAAGTGGGAAAGCCTGTCCTAAACTTCACACCAAAACAAGAGGCAGTAAGGGAAAATGGACCTCCAGGATGGAAAGGAGGCCATGATCACAGAGAGTAGGGAAGTGGCAGCCAGTGAGAAGACACATCTGGCATTTGTAACAGATGGGGCAAAGGCCGGCCCTCTGCAGCACTCTGCTGGACTCTGGTGTAGTGCCCATCTGCATCATAGAGCAGCCAGTGTCCCTCAGAAGAGAGGCAAGAGCAACCCCTCGCCACAGCTACCCAACTCTTTGCCAAGTGGTGCATCGTCAGAGGGACAGACTGGGTGAGGGCTATGTTGGTTCAGGGTGGCACTTAAAAGTAAGGGGATTGTGGTGGACACTGCTTTGAGAGTGGCACAGTACCCCGGTGAGGATCCAGTGTCTGAGACAGGACGCGCCTGCCGGGAAGCTGGATGTCTGCAACCTTGTGTGCACTCACCTGGAGGGGGGCGGGGTGGGGGTGGCAAACCACAAAATCCCTAGGAGAGGCCGCAGGCTGGGGAGGGCACCTGAAGTTGGTCTGGAAGTCAGTCAGTGCCTACAGACACCAAATGGAAACAAGCTCATGAGATAGATGAGAAGCAAAACCCAGGGGGCCCTTTCTGGAGATGGAAGACAGCCTGTGGCAGCAGTTCCAGATTGACACAAGAGACAGGCTCAGGCTGGGGTGGCACCATCAAGGCAGAGCACTCCCCACAGAATGTGGCAAGCTCAGGATTGATGACCTTTCCCAATTTTTGCCACGGGGAAGCCCAGAAAGACTGTCTTTTGGTTGCAGCAGGCAGGTATGTATTGTGATTGATGGCTCGGGGCTGTTTTTATGTTTGCGTTACATATGGAATGGGGGCACCGGTGCTCTTGCCAGTGCTGAGAACCTCTCAGTGTCTTGATCAGGCCCTGGGAGGCAGGCATGCTCCCGACTCCCCTACGCATCCCAGGGAGGCAGAATCCACGGGAACTGGGCTCGTACCCAGGCACTGCAACCAGTCAGGGGATGAGGGGGCAGGACAGAAGGGCTGTGCGTGAGTGCTTTTGGGAGGGCAGTGCCAGCAAATGGACAGGAGGGTTTTGACTTGGGCCAAGACAATGCCGTGGAGACGCTTGGACGCTGATGGGCTTTTCTGTAACAGAGTTTGCTCAGGAGATGGGCAGAAAGCCTCTGGGGCGCTCCCTGAGTTAGGACTCAGCTGCGGCCTCACTGTGTCAAGTGCCTCAGAGATGGTGGACAAGTGTACGCAAAGGGAAATTTGGTAGCATGCAGGGAAGTAGGGACGTGCATGGTAATTCCGGACCACAGGCTAGGAGGATGCCTTTGTGCTCAAAGAGACTGAGCAATGAGGTGTCACTGAAGACAGTGTTGGTGAAGCAGGCTCCACTGGGAAAAGTGGTTGCGGAGCTGTCTGCAGGGAAATCCCCTTTGAAATCAGATTGCCCAGCCAAACTGTGGTTGGCTTGGGAGAAAGGGTGGTCCTTCTGACAGCTCTTAGGAACCCTTAGGAACTGAGACAGGGCTCCCAGAGCCAGCCAAGGAAGCCCCAGCAGTGTGAGCCTTGATGGGGGGTGTGGTGTCACAATAACTGCAAGTCGTTTGTTGGCCATCCCAGACACCAGGGCCTGGGAAGAGGCCTGGTCCCCATTCCAGGTGGGAGGGTTTCCAGAGTTGGTCAGGGGACCTGGCAGGCACTCAGGCCCTCTGGCCAGCATGGACTGTGGGGCAGATGGTACAAGCAGGAAAGTTGTAACCCACCTGGAACCCAAGCTGCGCGGGGAAGGGAGAATAAGACAAGAAAAGAAAGCTTTGTTCTGTGTGGAAGAGAACAAGCCGAATGCCCAGCACCACAGAGATGGCGGCCGCCCAGGACACAGTGACCCACAGCAGCAGCCCTGGGAGACCGAGAGGGTACCGGCACGGCAGCAGCCTTGCCCAAAGGAAGCAGATGTGTTTACTGGGTTTGCCATGGCTTTAGGGAAGGGGACCACTTCTTGACACACACAACACAAACATACAGGGAATCTGGCTTTGCTGATTCAGGGGCTAAACCTGCTGGGCAGGATCTGGTAATGTTGGAGATGGGGGCGGGTCAGGGGCAGAACGAGCTGCCCTGACCCATGGAGTGCTTCTGTGCCCACGGGCTCTTCCTTTCCTGGCAAAGTGCAGGGACCTCAGATGGAGAGTGTGGAGGTGTCTCCGGATGGATGGAGTGACCTCGGTCGTGCCAAGTGCCCTCAGCATTTGCCCTATCACCCCCGCGGGTAGTTGATGGAAGGCTCCACTGTCCCCTTCCAGGGTCCCACCAAAGGTAGTGGGGATATGGAAGAAAGGAGGTTGCTCCAAAGGGAGCAGCGGCCAACCCTCTCACTCTGTCAGGAAGTAGCGCCGGGGATCCCAAGGAAGAGAGAAGGAGGGCTGGAAGCAGATTTCCCCGTGGCTTCGCAGGAGGGACAGAACTACACAGGGTAGGTGCTGGGCAAGCGGCAACCTTTGTGCAATAAATGCGCCCCGATGCGTGGTAGAGCTCCCCCACCTGCTCCACCCCGGTCCCCATCCCCACGTCGGGATGCGCAGACAAACGAAAAGGCCGGGGTTACTGACCTTTCTTTCCAGGCTGGCAGTCAAGGAAAAGACATTAAGAAGGGATTTCTCTGTGCCGGGCACGGTGCTGCCTGCTCCACGGGTGTTGTCTCTTTCAGTCCTCTCAACATTCCATCCTAATTCCACGAACTCCCCCGCTGTGCCCCTCCCTTCCTCCCACCCCCGCCCCCAGCCCCTTCTTGAAGTTTATTCTGAGCACTGCAGCCCCTCTCTATCCCTGCCTCCTGTGAGCACCGATAAGCCGGCATTTGTCAGGGAACAGAAGTCCCAGTCAGCTGGCGTTTATCGTGCTTTTTTTGTCCTTCTCTCAGTGCAGACTGTAAACTCAAGGACAAGGACCATGACTCTTTTCTGCCAATCAAAGCACACAACTTTATTGATGATACACACAGATGCGGACTTGGGTGGAAGAGGTTAAGTCGGTACAATAGACAGAAGAGCAGTGCACTTTTTTGATGAATAGGTTCACTATCCATCAGGCGCGTGTAGAAGAAAGAGTAAACGAAAAATAATTCAACCTAAGCTGCAACAAATGCATTTTCAGCTCAAGCTGCGATATGCGTCTGGTCTCTGCAAAGCGGTTCTGCTTGGACAGGGAGACCACCACAGGCAACAATAGCTGTAATTTGATGTTCTTTGTCCACAGCAGGCAGCTGAAGTGATCCCCTCACCACATGAAGGAGGCTGCAAGGGAGGAATTTACAGTGCCAACATTGCCTGCAGACTGCACAACCAACAAGTTACTCAAAGCTCTGTGGGAGCCCCTGCCTGGCCAATAAGAGTGTGGTCCTGGATTGAGCCCTGGAACTTTCACCCAATGAGGTGGTGATTGGCTAAGGCTGGATCTTCAGTAGCACCCTCTGCAGATTCTTTGACATCTGCAAACCAAGCGCGTTGTGGGTGGATTCCGTCCCATTGTGTTCCAGAGGGCCGTTTATGGGGCAGGGGTTTCCAGGAGAATCTCTCTGTTTCCTTTTCTGATAAAGAGGGACATGAATGAGAAGAGCATCTGGGCACCGACTAACTCCCCCGCCAAGACTGGCTTTTCAGACAAACCCATCAGTGGTTTCAAAACCTGAACCTTAGCACATCCACTTCCCTCTGATATCAAAGGAAACTTCAAGTCTGAAACGGACTTGGCAAGCATGTTATTAATAACTGTCATGCTTATTAACAAATTTAATCCGGCCTGCTGCAGAAATGAGTTGCAGCAATGTGACACAGTCTCCTGACACACTTCATTGATGTACATCTTAATCTGGCCCTCACTTTCAATGCTGGCATTTAAGTTATCCGTGGCGCACAAAGCCTCTCTAACAGTGGGGTCTGGTGTGGGGCCCGTGTTTCTAACCATTGAGAGACTGGCCAAATGGCTATTGATATCCTGGCTAAATGGAAAGCCCGCATCCTTGGGCTCAGCAAACAACAGTTTTCCCTGAATGAAAAGACACTTGGAGAGGTCCAGAACACAACTACCTTTTTTAAAGTTTTGAGCATATCCAGCATTTTAAAAATTTTCATTGGGGAATAGGTGATTCATTTTTATTTGTATGGTTTGCTTTTGGAGAGGCTGTGAGTTCTTACTGCCCATGATTTTGTCAGACTAATCCCCAGGGCTTGGCTCATCCTCAACTCTTGACTGCAGATCATGGACCTTACCTTTCTTCCCCACTGTCTGCAGCTCCCCCGCAATTTTCATCTTTTCTTGTTTGGATGTGCCTTCTTCTGATAAGTGGATGAACAGTGTGTCAACTTCTAGACCAGATTTCCATATCATCTTTCACATATTCGTCAGTCAGTGTATATCCCACATCTAATGCAAGTCACAGATGGGCCTCACTCTTTAAAAGGTGATCTAGTTGTGGCATTTTAGGAAGGAGATTGTTACACAATCTTTTCCTGGACACAATCAATCTAATTGCCATCCAACATGGACCTAGCAGCCATGCAAACACATAGAGCTTTTAGATGAGTCTCCCCAAAGAGACATGTCAATGCACAGGTTACAAGGGTATCAGTATCTCTATTTCCGGATTTAAGGTCTTAATTTTCAAATATTCCTCCTCTGGGGTTTTACCTCCCTCAAGCTCAGAGGTGCAGCATTTATCTTTTTCCAGCACCAATGTAAGAGGAGAAAAGAACAAAGGCTGTGAGAGGGAGAAGCTAAATTGCCTCTGGACTCTGTAGTCTGCCTCAGACACCTCGTTTCTACCCCTTATCTCCAGCATATCACACTGTGTGGGGCAATTTCTTTCCTCCCTTACTTAGATTATTGTCTACAGCTAGACAGAGAAAAGAGAATAGAGATTGGCAAATGCACTCACATGTAAGTTTCAGGTGCATCCACTCCAGAGTGAGGAATGTAACCTTCCAAAGTCTCCCATTTAGGTCTCAGGCACACCCATCTTCCCCACCCTGGCTTCCTGCCACTTTATCCCTTGCCCTTCTCCCATGAATGCCCACTTTCCTGCTCTACCTCACCTCACTCCCCTTTCTGCCCTATAGATTTTGACACTGCTTTCCCAGAGCCATAAAGGATTGGGATTAAGGGTTTTCTGAAAACAAGACAGGAGTAGAAGGGCAAGTTCCAGTTTAGCACTTGTGTGTACCACCCTCTTGTGACTGGTTCTGGCTCCACATTTCCTTGAAGGAATACACTCTTGCTTCAGTCTCTACCAAATAACCTGTAATTTTCTTCTTCCTTTTTCTTGGGTTGCACTGCCCCCTACAGACAGACAAACAAACCAGTATCTATCAGTAGGGTCGGCGAACACAGCACTGGGTGATAGGCCACAGTTCCTACCTTTTACTGATTCTGGACTCTATCTGTCAAACATTTCTCATCTCTCACTCTCAGGTCCCCAACACCAACTCTCCCCCGGATCCTATGCACCATTTAGAGAACTAAAATAAGCTGGTGGGTGGGGCGAGAGTATAGGGGAAGATGACTCTGTCCCAATCCTGACCCTAAGACTTCCTAGGCAATCCTCATTCTCACACCAACCTGCACATAACCAGAGCAGTTTCTTCTTTCTTCACTCATCTACAAAGATGCCTCTCTGAGGTCAACAGCAGAGAGCTGATGGCTGGATCAAAAAGACTTGACTTTACCACAGATCTTGGTCACCTGAGATATATGTCACTAATGAGCCATGGTTGTCACCAGTAGTGATGCAAGAGTGTGCCTCCCTCTCTCTCTTCCCCCCAGCACACCAGACCTGTCACTCATTTTTTTCTTCGCCAATCCTGGAATCCAAAAGAAAATGCATTACCTTTTTGTGGGAATTTGTTTTTCTCTGATTTCCAGAGACAAAACTTATTCTGATACTTTCTTATCTTCTCCTGGAGCAACTGTCTCTTTGTATTTATACTTCTTTATCTTCATCCTAGAATACTGGGCAATAGCCCATCTCTTTACTTCCCCTCCCCTCAGCAACTAATATCTATCATCTTGCTTAGATCCATGAAAAAGCAGATTTCATAAAACAAGAATGGAGAACTAAATATTTTTAATTATATTTTTCTTGCCTCTGCTCACTCTTCTTGGAAATAATGACCTTTTAAAAATACTTTTACACCTTTGTATGTATAAGGAGTTTTCTGGAGTGATACTTGCTAGAATGACACCACTGGTTATTTCAGAGAATAGTATTTAAGGCAATACCCACTCTAGCTGAAATGTCAAGTGTTAAGGTCAGTGGGACATGGAAATTAACAGAGCTGTCTCTTGGACAAGACCACCTAGTTTTCCCAACAGAGCCCCATAAGATAGCATTTGCCTTGCTGAGTTCACTATACTCCAGGCTCTACCCCCTAATTTTGTTTTCAGAGTAAAAATATGCACAATTTATGACATTACACCCAAGAGAAATGCATGCATATATTTACCAAATGACATGTATAAGAATGCTCATAGCAGCACTATTCATAATAGTCCCAAGTTGGAAACAATCTAAATATCTATCATCAACAGAATGGATGCATAAAATACAGTACATACATAAATGGCAATGAATACTCTACATGCAACAGTATGGATTATTCTCACAGACAATGTTAGCAAAAAAATAGACACAAAATAATATATACTGTATGATTCTGCTTACCTAAAGTTTTTTAAAATTCAAAACGATCTATATTTTTACAAGTCAGAATAGTGGTTACCCTTGGGATGCATTAGTGAGTAGATGGGGGCTTAGAGCGAGCTTCCAGTGTGTGGTTCATGTTTATTTCTTGCTCCCTTTGTGATAATGTACTGAGCTGATCACTTGTGCGCTTTTCTGTATATACAGTATACTTCAACAAAAGTTTACTTAAAGATCTCAATAGTGAGTTAGACAAATGAAAGGTGGAGTGGCCAAGATGGCCAATTAGAAGCAGCTAGGGTGGATGGTTCTCATGGAGAGGAATGGAAGGGGTGAGTAAATATAGCACCTTCAACTGAAATATCCAGGTACTTGCATTGAGACTAATCAAGGAAACAACTTGACCCACAAAGGTCAAGAAAAGCAAAGTGGGATGATGGCCCACCCAGGAGCGACACGAAGCCAAGGGAAGCTCCCCCTCCTAGGAAAGCAGTGAGTAAATGTACAGCCCCGGAAACCCATACCTCTCCCACTGATCTTTGCAACCCTTGGGTCAGAAGATCCCCTCATGAACCCACTCCACCAAGGCCTTCAGTCTGACACACAGAGCTATGCAGAGTCTTGAAAGAGCAGCCATTCAGACACATGTGGAGACCAGGGAGCTTTAAATACTCTGGCTCTGGGCTTCCCAGCAAAAGTAACTGCAACTCCAGCAAAGTAGGAGATTAGAACTCCTACTACCCCTAGGAAAGAGGCTGAAACCAGGGGGCTGAGCAGGGAAGGTCTGCAGGTTCCATGTCCATGGCACTTCACAGGATAAAACCCACTGGCTTGGAATTCCAGCCAGTCACCAGTAGCAGTGTGGCGCCTACCTGGGATGGAGCACCCACGGGGAAGGGCATGCCTCCATCTTTGTTGTTTGGGTGACTTAGCCATTCCAGCCTGTGGGCTTTGGAGAGTCCAAACTGACCAGGGGCAGAAGGGATCCCCCAGCACAGCACAGCTGCTCTACCAAAACATGGCCAGACTGTTTCCTTCCCCCAATCCGTTCCTCCTCAATGGTGGGGGACCTCCCAACTGGGCCTTCAGCAACCCCTGCTGGTGTTCTCTGGCCAACAAAGATTTGAAAACTCCCTGGGACAAAACTCCCAAAGGGAGGAGTGGGCCACCATCTTTGTTGTTGGACATCTCAGCAGTTCTAGTCTTCAAGCTTTGGTGTGTCTGAGGCTACCAGGGGCAGAAGTGGTACACCAGCACAGCACAGCAGCCTCCAAAAACATGGCCAGACTGCTTTCTTAAGTCAGTCCCCAAACTTGCTCTTTATCACCAGGTAGAGCCACCCAACCAGGGTCTTCAGCTACCCCCACCAGTGTTCTCTGACAGAGGTTTCAGGCCTCCCTGGGACAGAGCTTCCAGGACAAAAGGAAGGCCACCATCTTTGCTGTTCAGGTGACTCAGCCATTCCAGCCTTCAGCCTTCAGAGATGACCAGGGGCTAAAGTGTGCCCCTAGCCCAGCACAGCTACTCAACAAAAACATGGCCAGACTACATTTTTAAGCAGGTCCCCAATCCTGTTCCTCCTGAATGGAAGGGACCTCCCATCCAGGGTCACCAGTCACCTCCCACAGGTGCATTTGGGCCAGCAACAGGTCTGTACCTCCCTAGGATGGAGCTCTCTGATAAAGGAGCAGGCTTCCACTTTTGCTGTTTCACAACCTTCACTGGTGACAGCTTCAGGTACTGGAAAATCTGAGGTGAATAGGGACTGGAGTGGGCCCCCAGCATACTGCAGCAGGCCTACAGAAAAGTGGCCAGACTGTTAAAAGAAAAAAAATCCAAAAGTCAGAAATCTAAAAGACTGAAGGCAGATAAGCCCACAAAGACAAGAAGTAATCAATGCAAGAAGGCCGAAAACTCAAAAAGCTAGCATGCCTTCTTTCCTCCAAATGACCACATCACCTATCCAGCAAGGGTGAGGAAACAGGTTGAGGCTGAGATGGCTGAAATGACAGAAGTAGAATTCAGAATATGGATAGGAATGAAGTTCGCTGAGCTAAAAGTGTGTGTCATAACCCAATGCAAGGAAGCTAAAAATCATGGTAGAACATTGCAGGAGATGACTGGGTGCAGTGGCTCATGCCTGTGATCTCAGCACTTTGGGAGGCCAAGACAGGTGGATGACTTGAGGTCAGGAGTTAAGACCAGCCTGGCCAACATAGCAAAACCCTGTCTCTACTAAAAACACAAAAATTAGCTGGGCATGGTGGTGTGCACCTGTAGTCCCAGCTATTCAAGAGGCTGAGGCAGGAGAATTGCTTGAATCCAGGAGGTGGAGGTTGCAGTGAGCTGAGACCATGCCACTGCACTCCAGCCTTGGCAACAGAGCAAGACACTGTCTCAAAAAATAAAAAATGGGCCAGACACTGTGGCTCACGCCTGTAATCCCAGCACTTTGGCAGGCAGAGGCAGGTGGATCACCTGAGGTCAGGAGTTCGTAACTAGCCTGACCAACATGGTGAAACCCTGTCTCTACTAAATACCAAAAATTAGCTGGGCATGGTGGCACATGCCTGTAATTCCAGCTACTTGGGAGGCTGAGGCAGGAGAATCTCTTGAACCTGGGAGGTGGAGGTTGCAATGAGCTGAGATTTCACCATTGCCCTCCAGCCTGGGCAACAAGAGTGAAACTTCA